AGTTTGTGCCTGTCATAAATTTTAGACATGAAAACAATTTTAATATTTTAACAGTTTAGTTTTCTCACTTGTATTTTTTATAAATAAATAATATACATGAAAAATCAAATATTTATTCTTTAGGACCTATTGGTTCCATCGTTAAATTAACAATATGGCCTAACATTTGCCACGTAGATGATAAAATATCAATTTGATTTATTGACCAATCAGTGTTCATGATACCCCAGTTACGTATTCTTCCTATAAAACGCTCAAGATGAATGCGTTGCAGCAATATCAAAGTTTTTAGCAATATCTTGTTCAGAAAATTGACTGCTATCTTTTTGCTTTGGTCTATTTAACGAGATTCCTTTCTTTGCACAAAAGTCTTGAATTGAAAATCCACGATCACTCATTATTTCGTTTTCTTCTTCAACATATAAAGTAGCATTTGACTTTTCAGTAATTTCTGATTCTGCGATTGATCTTGGGTAAATTTCACTGAATAAAATTCCTCCACCATGAGGAGAAATGCCAATCAAAGCTTTGCCAGTTTGTGTATTTTTATAGTTGGAAAACATCAGAGAATTTAATTCAAAATTTGATGCACTTTGAAATTTAAACAAGGTCTGTCCGACCATGTCCTGTTTCAATGAAATTTTTGGGCATTTTTTAAAGCAAAAATCCAGGTGCAGGTTTTAAATCTCATTAAATATAGTGGCTAAAAATATTACCCATTCAATAAAAATTCTTTGCATCGTTGACTTAGACTTATCTATTATAAAGCCATTACCCCTTGATGTAGCCCATGCCTACATATGGTTAGAACAGATAATAATTCAGTTGCTTTATCAGTAATTCTACGGCTCGGTGCATTAACTTCACTTTCAGGATATGGTATTAAATGAGTATAAGGAGTAACACATTCTAAAATAATTTTAAATTGTTCTATTGATAAATCACATAAGTATTGAAACATTTTGGGCTGTTCTTTTAAAAACTTATATTCAAATTGTTTTTGAGAGGATTGTTAAATTTTATTTTTTAGACTGTTTATATTTTCTTGGTAAGTAATGCTAGCAGATTTCAGCTTCGACAGTTCAATATTTTTTATATCAAGTGCTTTTTTTAGTTGTTTAATTTTTTCCTTTGCTTCTTTAAGTTCAATTTTTATCTCATTCATTTGAGCTTCTGTGGAGTTAAGCTTTTTATTCAGTACTAATTTAGATAAAGCTTATTTTTTGTAAATAATTGGTGTTCTAGTATGTCTTTTTGGAGAGATACTAGAACACCAATTCAATTTATTTATATATTGAATAAAATAAATGTCAACATTTATTTTATTCAATATATAAATAAATTGAATAAAATAAATGTTGATACAGATTCAATTTAAAAACAGACTTTTGGGTAATAGTGGATTGACAAATAATTCAATAACCTTTCAATTCCATTAATATTGCTGGTGTATACAAATTCTTAATTTGATATTAATATTCTAATTTACATATTACGAATTCTTTATTACAATTAATGTATTCTTAATTTCTAATTGCGACTTCTTATTTACATATTGTGTTTCTTGGTTACATTATAAGATCTTAGAATGTAACCAAGAAACACAACATGTAAATAAGAAGTCGCAATTGGTAATTAAGAATACATTAATTGTAATAAAGAATTCGTAATATGTAAATTAGAATAGTAATATCAAATTAAGAATTTGTATACACCAGCAATAATAACGGAATTGAAAGGTTGTTGAATTATTTGTCAATCCACTATGACCCAAATAAAATATCTATATCTTATTTACATCTTGTGTTGCCTAATTACATATTACGATATATGAATTGCATGTGTTTCTCACGGCTATAGCCTATAGGCGAATTCCCTATATTGACTCAGGCGCCAAGCCTGAAGGAGCGCCGGATCCTTTTTGTTTGTTTGTTTTTGTTTTTTACAATAAATAAAAAACATTTTAATGACTGATAATTTGAAATCTGTTTAGTTTTTGTATTAGTTATTGTATAAACTGTAGTATTCAGAATAAAAATGCACACGAAAAATATAACTTAAATTTTGAACTCTATTATTATAATTTTTTATATACTATTTTATAAGAAAAAAATAGGATTTAGTTGTAATTGAATAAGACGGAACTGAGCGTATTCTGTGAGCCCACCAACAGTTACCATTCCAGCTCGTGCTCGATTGCATGAAAGATGGTGTGTTGTGGTAATTTTTCAAGAAGTTGAAGCAAGACCAGACACATGTTGAAGCGAGAAGAGACATATTTTGTCAATTTCACAATAAAAGCGCTACTTTTTATGTAGTATTTGACATTTGAAGCAAAGGAGAAAATCGTAGCGTCTTTTTTTTTAGACAAATAATCCGCCTTGTCTTTACCTAGACCCGGCTAGTTATCTAATATTCGAGTTTTCACATCTTTGCTGCACTCAATATGTGTAATTTACTTCACAAAATATTTGTGATTCAAAAGACTGCGAATCAGTGGAAACCTTAAACACTTTCCCTAAAGCCGAGTTAAATGAATTTCAAAATGACACATCAGAGTCAGAAAAAGGAACTTTACCTAACAGCAAAAAATGTGATGTTCAACCTGATCTAGTAATAATTAATGTTAACTCCTTTTTGAGATCAGTTGTTTAGAGTCAAAAAGATCAAGATGTAATTATTTTAGAGTGACCCCCAGTACAAAAGCAGTATTCAAAGGTGGTTATTTGTCACAAAACACTTTGCACCAAAAGTTCTACATGAATCGGAAAAAAGCATACATTCGTCTTACCAGCTCACTAGTATATAATTAGAGCTCCAGAAGTAAATAAATTCTAAGAGAGCTAAATGGAGGACAATTATTTATGGAGTTTTGGATGTGACTCTTTTCTTTTTTGGCTTCTAGAAATTTAGCTTTTCTAGTTAACTCGTTATAATGTATAAATTTTAATTATTTATATAAATATTGTAATAATTTAATTAAAATTACTATATTTATAAACTATATTTGCAGGTGAAACAACATTAATGGGAAGGAAAATGGAAACTCCCTTGCTGGTATGAGGCTTATTAGTCGCAACAACGCCGTCATTGAATCCCACTTGAAAAATGTTGGATTCGATAATAAAAAAAGACGCCATCAGGGGCGTCTGAAATGAGTGCTCTTACTTCTCTTCATCGTCTCAAAATGATTTCATCAGAAAATATTGTGGTGTCATCCAAAAATGAAAGAAATCTAGGATGAAGTCAATGAAATCTAAGATGGTAGCAGCATTACATCTCAAACTTAGCAGATAACCATTGTTATTCTTTTTCTCCTTTATGAAATAAAAAATAAGAGCAGGATGTTTTTATTCGTGTAGATGAATAACGATGATCTTTCCGTTTTAAATAAACCTTGACTCTTGTCACATGGTTGACTATTTGTTCCATCCAATCAGCTTGCAGAATTTGTTTGCAGTGTATTTGCTATTTTTGAACTTGCACGGTTTTATGCTAGAGATGTGAACAAAGAGAACCTTATTGAAAAAGTTCGCTGTTGATTAAAAAAGTGTTTCTGTTGCCCAAAAACAATGCCCGAAAAACAACTTTCAAGCAAGGAAACCCAATACAAGTACTCAATCAATTCTTTGAGAAGGAGCTTGAATACCTTTTTCCTTATATTTGTATAATGCTCCGATTTTTAAGACTATTCCTGAGTCAGTTGCTGATCAAACGATCAATTAGTAAACTAAAAGTTAAAAAAAAATCTCTCTCTGTTTGACCATGGGCCAGGATCGTATAACTGATATCTGATTATTTTGATTGAAGAAGATTAAGCTAAAAGGGTGGGCTACGACAATGTCATCGATACTTGGGCGGTCAGAAAAGCTTTTAAAGAAAGAAGATTTTGTTGATTGATTTTTTGTTTTTTAGTTTTAAAACTAATATTTTGATTAATCCACAGAATTAGAAGTTGAACAATGTGCTGTATTAGAAATAAATAATTGCTGCATTCTTATATTTAAATTTTGTAATTTCTTGGTTTAAAATGAAGGCGCCGTTCTCCATTTTTGACCCGGGCCCACTTGGAGCTCTCAAAGGCCCTGCATCAGCCACCAATCTAGGGAGCTGCTATTAACAACACTCCCATGCATGTTCTCCATAAATCTGTCGATGTAGCAGCCAAGGGCGGATCCAGACCATGTCGTTGCATGTTGGGGGATGCAGACGATCTAGTAAGGTTGGGGGGGGGGGGGGAAGGGACGATTTTTAGATATAATGATTTGTAAGCTTGCTTATATCTAAATAAAAAGCTTACAAATCATTATATCTAAATGTAAGTTTCAAGTTTGACCAGATATCATCTGGTCAAACTTGAAACTCATTTTGTGCCATATTATCTACTGCTTACTTAAGTTCAAAAACTGAATATCTGAAAATCAGCATTCTTTAAGTTGCTAAAGTATTCTTTGCTGACTTTTGGAGTAAAAATCTTACTTGTATATTATTACAAGTTTTAATGATGATGAACTTAAAAATGACGGTTAATCCCAAATTTCTTTTTTAAGATAATATTCGACCCATCAACATTAGGCATGGAGACTTTACATTTACTCTATGCTTAAAATTGCAACTTTTATGAAACCATTTTATCTCAAGGAATTTAAAATTTTTGAAAACATTTTTTGTTTTATCTTTAAGTGTTTACATTTGTTTTGAAAAGCTCCGCGCACGAAAAGCGCTGCAACTATTTAGTACAGTATTTTAA